TAACTTCAAAATATTTTGATGCGAAAAAATCCCTATTTAGTTCGGTGCCGGAATTATAATTTCATACATTGTTCAAAGAAATTAATTGATACGATGCAATGTTTACGAAGCACATTTTGAATGTAATCAGAAGAATCGGCTTCGATATGATACACACCAATACACACAGCTACCAACTGTCAAATGTCGTACACATTCAAACATGTTTCGAATTCGAAATTCGAATTTGAATTATGAAATAAAAAAAATAAAAAAATGTTTCTGAAACTAAAATCAAATCAAACAAATCTAAAAAAAAGGTACATTTATAAATGTATTTCACAGTCACTTGAAATTCCTACGCAATGTTTTTTTTTATTCATGCACAATCGAAACACACACAGAGAGAAGAGAGTAAGATTTGTATTTTCATCCTCTTTTTTTTCCGGTTTGTTTTTCAAATTTCATTTGCTTAAAATCAATCGTATGAATACGATATTATGAACTCAACGAGTTTATGTTATTTACATTTGTTTACATTATATTGCCGCTACAGTTTCTTAGAATATAATAACAAAAAGAGAAACAATCGAAACACACAGAAGATGTTGTTGTGTATCGCAACACGAAAAAGCCGAAAAAGTGGTTCACATTATGCCTATATTCTACCTTCCATTTGACACGAAAATTGCCACAAAAATGGGTTAAAGCGTTACATTTTTTAACGTTAAAATGTCCTAAAAACGTTACATATTTGTCCGTTGGGCAGTGTCAATTCATCAAAAATATTTTTTTACGTATTTTCATTTCAGCGGTGAATTTTATAATCCTATGGGTGATGATACATGGAACAATGAGGACTGAGCGAATCACACCACATTTCATGGAGTCAATCACTTTTTTGTATATGGCAGTTTTCAATTTTATAGATATAGATTAACATGCCAGTTTTTGTAGTTTATAACTAATTATTTTGTTCCAAATAAACATATGGCATACTTATCTTATTCAACCAATTTTGATTTTTTAATAACTAAGAATAAGAACAGTATATATAGAGAGATGCTTATTGAAGACGATTATGAATTTTACGTATGCAAAAAAATTCCTATTATTTAACCTTCACGTTGAACCTTATACAACATTTTTTTCAAATACTTATTTTGAAAATTATAAATTCTATTTATTATTCAACGTATTCAAAAATTCAGCTGCGAGCTCGTCCTAGGACACTTCACTCATCCAAACATGTTTGCTTTCGTCAATAAAACGTGAATATAAAAGAAAATATTGTTCATCAATTTATTTCATTTAGAACAGTTCAGCCGGAGAATTCGATGACATAAAGCTGTTGATCATGTGGTAGTGCGAAGTGATATTGTGCTTATTGGTTTCAACTATACAATTCATTGGTGACTGAAAATCTTAACGCATCACTGAAACCAAAATTAAATTGTTCATTTAAATTTTATTGTTCATTCCAGCAATAAACATAGTGGAAAATGAACGAGATTTTAAATTTTCATGCGTATCTTCTGCATCGTAAGAAAAAATATGAATAATATGAACTGAATTTGTTAACAATTTTTGAGAATTTCAGCGCTACCGAATTTACTTCTATTCACTTCAAATATGATCCAAAAATGGCAAAATATGAATATAAATTCAGTAAAAATGAGCTTGCCAAAGTCAAAGAAATGATCGGAAACAAAGAGAAGATTATGTAAAAAATCAATAAATTTATTGATTAATTTTATGTAAATATTAATGTAAAAAATCTTCTAGCTTCTACTTCATGGGATATGGTAGCTATTTGCGCAATTATTAATAAAAAACTAAATTAATTTTTATAACAACATTCAGCCGACAGAAATTTTATTATAGCAAAAGGTTTAACATTTAACTGAATTTATTTACTACAAAAAATATAATGTGATTATTTTTTCAGAGGAAATGATCACAAAAAATTGTTGCTCGTGTACTGTAAGTCACGCATTCTATTGGGGAGCCGATCATTTTAAGTTTTTTCAATATTTTTCGGGGCTCGACTCTGTACTTCCACAAAAAATTCGAATTGGATTGAATTTCATCAAAAATATTGTGGACTCAGATGAATTTAAAATCAAATTGTCTACGGTTTATTTGACCGGTTTTAGTTTAGGTGAGCTAATCAAGCCGGGTTTCAAGTTATTGCTAGTTTTACATTGCTGTTAATAAATCTTTCAGGTGGACACATTGCGGGAATGATTGGACATGAGTTGAAAAAAATCTATAATGGAAAAATGGTAGCAGCAGTATGGGGAAATTTGAACATTGAATTCCGATAGCAGTTTTTGACCCCCCTAGAATTGGATTTCCGTATCCGATAATCGATGGAAAACCAAGACGAACACAAAAAGTAGACGCGAAATTTGTTGCAGTTTCCATTATTTCTCGTATCGGTGTCAAAAAATATATTGGGGATATTGATGTTATAGTTAATGATGGTAGTTATTACTCTGTAAAATAGAAGGGATTAAATATTAATCATTTTGGATTTTTCATCAAAATAATCTAAAAGGATTAAATGTTAGCACTATAGGATTAAATTTGAATACTTACTAAAAGTAGCTATAATAAGACCACGATGACATCCCGCACAATACCCAGGGCTTTGAATTGTTTAACAAATAACAAATTCATTACTTATTGTTCATATTGAGAAATCGATTCAATCAAATGCACAAACCTTTGTAGAGTATATTGCGACCGGCGTTTGTATCACGATTCCATGTGATAGTACGACCAATTGTCCGTTTTTCTTCGTGGCGTCGGAATTTTGATGCCATACGTGGACTTCAATCAAAAATAAATAAATAACCTTTTGCTTCTGAGTCGGCAGCAATGACATTTTCACCCACAAATACGAATGTTTCTTTGCCATCGATCAACCAGTCTGCCAACTTGTCGAGGGTCCCGCATGATTTCATTTTCGTCTTTGACAACGACGAATTTTGTGCGTTCCATCCAGAATGACATAGCCACTCCATCCGTTTGAATCGAATTTTGAAATTTTATAGTGGCACGATTGTCATTTTGCGGTGTTCTTTCAATGGCATCAATGTCAAAATACATTCGCCAAAGCACGACCCAATCAGCGGCTTTTAATTCCTCACGTTGCTTTGGTGTTCCATCACGTCTAATGAGCCGTGGGTGTGGGCATCCGATCTCTCTCAGCATGAAATAAAGACCTTTGTTATCGATGCGAATGTGATGTCTTTCAAACGTTGAAACTGGAAAAACGGTGAAATTTCTGTAATCACGGAGCTCTGTTCTTTCACCTCGTCGCAATGCCGCCTCTCTATTTCGTTGGTGATCACGAATGTACCTATTGTATGATTGACGAGGAAATCAATAGAAATTGCATTGTTTAACGAATGAAACAAAAATGATTGTGTGCAACCGATTGATTTGAAATAATGTAAAAATATTAACGGCTTACCGTTGCAAATGTAGAAATATTGGTACGTATTTGAACCAATTGCCTGCCGTCGTCATCGTAAAAAAATATGCTCGACCATCTCCGAAACGAATTGGATGCAATTCATTTTTTAGTATTTCAATTAGATACGGATCTGGTACGCGCTCTGATTTCTTTTTGAATAGATATTGCATGGTATCGTTGATCTGTTGCTTGGTCGCATTTTGGTGCTCAAAAAACTTCCAAAGACGAGAATATGCGTGATAGCAAACGTTATTCTTGAAATTTGTGTAGTACATTTGAATCATTGCGGCGAAACAGTAGCTCTTATTTTTCTCCAAATAATACTGCAACATGAAGTTTTTTTCACACGGTTTATTTGTTGTAATACGTAGGGTGCTCCATAATTTTTTTTAAAAAGGTATTTTTAGTGTTGCCCGATGCAAACCATTGTCATATTCGTAAAATTTGGCATTTTTTATGAACAATAGCTTTTACAGAACGAATTTTTGTTGCGTGGTGTGGCTACGGCAGCAGCTTAAACATGACACCCTAAAAAAGTGCACTATTTCGAATATACACCTTTTTTCCACTTCGACAAATACATTTTATACATCCCATTTTGGTCTCTGGTGGACGAAAGGGTCCCGAGTTAGACGTACACGGATTACGGTGCATTAATTCGATCTTTTAGGTGGTCAAATAGTCGACTGTTTGATGGGTTACTTTTTGCCATGATTGGGGATTATAAGTTTCCGAAGTATGGATTTCATATTTCCGTGATGGCTTTTGGCAAGCAAATGGTTGTATACTATTCAGAATTGAAGGGCCTTTCATCCCATAAAGTCATGGTAGCAACATGACCCATAACATTGTAAAATAATGCGGTCCACTCTTTCACTATCACATCACAAACGAACAACTTTTGTTGGATTGTGTTCATGTTTGAAGACTCAGAGAGTCATTCGAGGTTTACTTTCGGGTCCGAAGCGCTAGAATCATGATTTGGCTCCAATTGCAATAATATAGACGTGTTTAGATGATCCTCTGTTGAGTTTACTTGGACATTTCTTTGCACCAAATAACATGTTTCAATTTTTGCAACTTTTGAAAAATCGTCGATTTTTGTGGGATGAAGGTACAAACTGCCATGGTGATTGTGCAATATTGCATGTATGCCGTGGGATGATAAGCTCAAACATGCTATAATTTAACTGTAAAAGAAATTAAGGTCCAACTCAATCAGGTTCCGTACATCAGCAGAGTGTTTCTCAGTGACGGCAGTTTTCGAGGCACCATCGCGCAATTGATCTCTGTGGCTAGCACCGTGACGATGGAATTCCGCAAACCAGTTGTATACAGTGGTAAGGCATGATACTTCCATCCCATACCCCAACTTAGGTCGAAAGTCGTGTTCTTGAGCAGAGAGCCCTCTTTGAAATTTTATAAAAAATTCGTTCGAAAATTTTGTTTTGTAAATTTCATTTTTTCTCCAAATTGATTTTTTCTTTCTGTCGCCGTAGCCACACCACGCAACTAAAATTCGTTCTGTAAAAGCTATTGTTCATAAAAAATGCCAAATTTTACGAATATGACAATGGTTTGCATCGGGCAACACTAAAAATACCTTTTTAAAAAAAATTAAGGAGCAGCCCTCGTACAACAAATAAACTATTCATAAAAAACTTTATGTTGCAGTATTATTTGGAGAAAAATAAGAGCTAATTTTTCGCTGCAACGATTCATTTGTGATGCGTAGTTGAATATATTTGATATTTTCTCAATTTTTGGAGCTCTCACGAAATATTTACGACACAAACGATAAATCATTCTGGACACCTTGTATCCACAGTTCATTACGGCATCTTCATCGTCGCTATCAAAATTTTGCGCCCCTCGGAAAAAATCATCGAAGAAGTTCTTATCCACAAATTTACTGAAGTAATCTTCGATTTCACCGTATCGATTGCCATCACAACGCACTTGAAAAAATTTGAAAATCAAGTAATGAACACTGAGTGCACCCAAAATGAAACATCGCGTCATTTCAAGCACATAATCGCTGGTCAAATCACGAAATTCATCTGTTTTCATAGGTCGATTATGTTTCAAGCCTTTTTTTGCACTTTTCTTTATCGTTTGATTTTCACAAATTTTTTTCCTCTTTACTGGCTTTGGCTTAGAAGCCGATTTGGCTTCCGTTTCTTTCCAGCCATCGTGATCGAGTGATAGTATACCGAAGAGCTCTTATATTTATAGTCAAAAATCTGTTGATTCAGCAATATATTATTTTTGATGAATTTATAAGTTCCCGGTATTTTAAAAACGGGCCTCTGAAAATTCATCAAAATATACAATCACCGATTCATGTAATCGAACGGGTTCACAATAAACAAACTAACAATGCGTTCATTTCACTATTGCATAAATATAATTTCACAAGTCTTCGATGCAACCGAACTAAAAACTTCATTGAAAATCATTTTCAGCCCTTTCAGCAAGAATATTCTCAAGCATTTTACAATGTGTGTTTCGGTTGTTCACGATTCTGATGGATTTTGAAAATGTTCGCCATGTTACGCTTCACAAAAAAAAAATCGGTGAGCTCAAAAGAGTGAGGTTATGAAATGAAATATGTGCTGATATCAATGCAAACCGATCCCAACTTTTATTGAGAACAATCCGCTAATCACCCTTTCTTCACTTTGTTTCCACTAGCTATGAAACATTTTATCAGAAATCTTATAAATAGCACAGAAGCCATGGAAAAAAGGATTTTATTGAAAATCATCTTTTAATAAACAAACCAATCGAAATTCCAACAGAAACAAAAATATTTTTTTCGACAACGGTGCACGCAACGGTTTTACACAACAAACATAAGACCGTGAAAAGTTATGTTTGTAATCGAAAGACAATGACAGGCGTTTGAAGTTTCATGTAAATGTCAATACAATATGAAACAGTGTTCCACCAGAATGATTATTCATTTAATATTCAAACAATTAATACAATTTAACTGTTTTACAAAACTATTGTATTTTGCATTTAAAATGAATACAAAAAATCTTTCTAGCACCTTCTTATTTCATTTTAATCCATTTGGATTT